TATGATTATATTATAAGATATCTATATCATAATATTATAGAAATTTCAGTAATTACTAAAATTTCCTGATAATTTCCGAAATTACCATAAATTCTTCCACTTTTTGGGGGTAGGGTTCTATAAACCTATGATTATATTATAAGATATCTCTATCATAATATTATAGAACTTATAGAAATTTCCGTAATTACTAAAATTTCCTGGTAATTTCCGAAATTACCATAAATTCTTCTACTTTTTGGAGGTAGGGTTCTTTAATTGTGTATGAAGCTTATTATATTATTATTATATAATTTTGGAATTTATTGAATTTTCCTAGTAATTACCGAAATTTCTGAGAAATTTTCATTGAAATTTCTTCGCGACAAGTAGTGAATTTCAGAAATTTCGTTGTAATTTTTTCTAGATATGTCTATATTTTCGGTAATTACCGGTAAATTTCATTCCAAAATGGTGGTATTTACGGAAATTATCTAGTAATTTTCCTTGTGTAGTATGAGTAATTACCGAAATTTCCACGAAATTTCTTTCCATCTGTGCAGGTAATTTCCGAAATTTCCTGTAAATTTGCTTTGGCATTGCATGAATATTTGGGAAATTGTGCCGAAATTTGTCTCTCGTATAGTAGTAATTACTAAAATTTCTGCGAAATTTCTATAGTTAAGCACATGTATCCTTAAATGCTGTTTGTGGAAATTTTGGTATTTTCGGAAATTTCCTTTTTCGGAAATCTGCCCACTGCTGGAATATTTGAATAAACATGAAAAATGTTGGCATTATTAATAAATAACTAAAAATAAAAATAAAAAAAGTTTTCTTTTTGATAAAAAAAAATCTGTTTTCTCTAACCCATTTGTAGCAAATATATGTTGAAAATGGTTACCTATATTTATATAAATGGCAAGACAAAAACAACATTGCAAAATCTTCATAATGTAATATAAATGCTCCATTAATTACATTAAGAAAAATTGTTATATCCTATATCTTTGGTGCTTTATCATCCATATTAAAAAATAACCATGCAATTAATTTAATCCTTAAATAAACAAACATTAAAATAAAATTAATCTTTCATTTTTCTCAAAGTCATCAATTATATTTCTGTAACATAACATATCTAAATTAAATAATTCTTTATCCGATGTTCTTATATATAAATTATAATCAGATTCTAACCGTTTTCTTGGAAATGTTGAACTTTTAATAAGTTCATTATGAAAAAATATCACACAATTATGTATTTGATTATATGATGTATTGTCAAGTAAATATCTTGCAAATAAAACTTTTAATAACCTATGATGCAAAAGTAATGCCACAAATGTCTATCCCTATTTCTCTTTGATAAAAGGGTGCTGAACGAAAACCTTTTTTTACCAAAAGATAGAGCCTTTTCTCCTCTTTCGAAACATATATAACTTATTTTTATAACACGTTCATAAATGAAACGATGCAACAGAAAAGAGAAGCATCCTTAAAAAGAATCCGCACTTTTCCATAAAAGAACCGCATAAAATGTCGATCCTTATATCTCTTCGATAAACAGGTTCTGAAAAGAATATTTTTTTATGAGTTGATAAGAAATTTTCTCCTCTTTCGAACAGCATATGATTTATATCTGCCACACATTCATAAATGAAGCGAGACGAGAAAAAGAAGAAGTGCTCACGCAATAAATTTGTAATTTTTATATGAAATGATCAAAACCATCTTGTAGATGATAGTTAATTATAATAAACTGTCCTTTTAAAAGATGTTTTTACCGATTTCATAAAAGTTAAAGTAACCACCATTTTACAAGATCTTTTTAATGGGTCCACAAAAATCAAATTAATTATTGTCTAACATGATGTTTTCGACCATTTCACATAAAAACTACAAATTTATTGCACGAGCGTTGCTCTTTCTTTCTTGTGTCATTTCATTCATGAATGTGTGACAAATATAAATCATATACTGTTTGAAAGAGAAGAAAATTTCTTGTCAACTCATAAAAAAAATATTCTTTTCAGAATCTATTTATGGAAGATATATAGGGGTCCACATTTTGGGCCGTTTTTCTGAGTCTCACGAAAAGTGCAGGTTCTTTTTAAGGATGCTTCTCTTTTCTGTTGCATCGTTTCATTTATGAACGTGTTATAAAAATAAGTTGTATACATTTCGAAAGAGGGATTGACATTTGTACTATTACTTTTGCATCGTACGTTAATTCAGTTGTTTTTAAATAAATCGAAATATATTCAAGTTGTTGTTTTCATTGTTTAATATGTATATGTATTAATGATAATTGTGGATAAATATTTCGAGGAAAAAAATAAAAATCTCGTACATATGTATCTGGTATATAAATCTGTTGAGTTTTAACATCAATTAAATAATAGCAATCACGTTTTGATTCGAGCATACCAAAAACAATCTAATACTTCTTGTAAAACATTACTAAATTGTGTATTTTCTTGAATAATTGCTTGTGTTGGAATTTGCTATAAATCTAGACCAAGAATAATAGCTTCTTTTGTTGACGGAACACTATCAGTTATTAATATCATTATTTCACTTTGTTCTTTACGTAAAATTTGTTTTAAATTTTTTCAAATAAGACCACGAAGATATGGAATTATTTTCTAAAAAGGTTAAGTCAGCGGTTATTAATTATTGAGAACCATCAAGTAGTCAACGTACCCGTATTCATTAATAAATCAAGAACATAATTAAATATGGCATGAGCAAATTGAGGAGGAATATTAGTTAAACATATCATAAGATGACGAAGACTTTGAGGAGATTTTATCTAATATTAAAAATAGATATTAGAAATTTGAAATTTTACAGAAAAACTTACACGAGATTCTTTATGATAAAGTTTTTCAAAGAAAAAATCAATTAATAATATTGGTTCATCAATTAAACATGTCCGCACTAATTGCCAAAAGAAATGTTCCTTGAGCTTGACGTATTTGAATATTTGTTTCAACAAATCGATCATCATCTGTATGTCCTAAAACTCAAATCTTTTTATTCTCAATTTTCTAATAAAATATTCTCTTAACCTTCTTCTTCTTCATCTCTTTGCTAATGTAAAAGTGGTTCAAATTAATATGATTGTAATATTGATACAATTGACATAGCAAAATTTTCTCTTGCTACTCGTCTACTCGCTTCTTTAGCCATCTATGCTGAATGTATTAATTCTTGTTGATGTCTTTTACGGATTTTACTTGCTGTTACAATTACTCACTCAATAACAGAAAAAAATTTTTATTTAGATTTTTTTTATTAGATAATACATACAATTTCTTCTCGGTTTGAAGCAACTTGTTGAACAAGTGATTTAGTATGTGGCATCTATGATAATCAACTGTTTGAAGATAAGCAAGACAAAGTGCTGGAGATGGTAAAACCAATTCCATACTTGGTGAAAGAATCTAATTAAAAAGATTATTTATTTTGAAAAATTTTATTTTTGATAAATTTTTACCTTTATCATTGAATGTGCATCTTCTTCTAATTGCGTCCAAAATCGATACCGAAAACACCATAATATTTGAAATTTTAATATTACATTATAACGAATTGATGTGCTAAAATTTTCCATTTCTCTATGAAATAATGCATCAAATAATTGACCAGGACGAGCAGCTATTAGCATAACTATTGTTGTTAAAAATAAGAAAAAATAAAATTTTATTTAAAAAAAATTTATTTGTTTTTCTCTACTAACACAAGCAGCTAATTCTTCATTACAATCTAATAAAAGTTCTCAAAATAAATAAAGTATTTGCGAATAATGTTTATCTTCTAATAAAACAGATGATTTATAAAGTATCATTAATGGTACTTGTGTTAATGCTTCAATCTAAACAAAACTCGAAAGTGTTTGTTTTTTTTTTGAAGAAAATAAATGTTGAAACAAACTGGTTTTTCAAGATAAGCTGAAACAGCAGTAAAATGTGTATTAATTTGTTTATTAAAACGTGGATCTGCTGTTTTAACAAACATTCTATAAATTAATCCATCAGTTGGTTCAGTTGTATTTGTATTTTTTATAACATTATTAATATGTGAACGAGTACTATCACCAAATCAACAAGTTGAAGGCTATAAGAAAAAAAAATCAAATAAAATTATTTAAAAAATCCCCCCAAAATAGTTTTTTTATTCGTCGTTTTTTTAAATCATAATGAGTTTTACTTGATGTTGTATCATTTCGTTTCAAATGTGATGTTGATCTATGTGTTGATGGAACGAGAAAAAAGATGAACCAATATTAGCTAAACTTGATGTTGATGATAAACGATACGTATTTAATAAAGCTTGAATTTAATTTTTACAATTTGTTATTTGTTTATCATAACAACTAGCTTAACATTTTATTTGATAATCACATGTTTTAATCTTCTTATAACAACTTTTATTCATGGAAATGGACGAGTATTTATAATATCATCAAAATTTGCTTGATCAAATTCTTCATCATTTCCATTGAGATATTGATCAGTTGATTTCATGGCAGAACTTCCGATATTACTTTGATGACTATCAGTTTCGAAAGAAATATTTGATGCATGACTACGACGACAAGTTCAATATGATGAACGACGAGGATCTGAATTAAATTAATAGATTTTAAGATTTTAATGCAAAGGTTTTTTTTATTTTACTGTTTCCTGAATCTTTTATTCTTAATGATGATTTTCTTAATTTTATACTACTTCATCGCATTAATTCTATTGGTCTTCCAGTACTAACAGTAATACTTCCTGCTTTATGTGTTATAACACACATTAAAAAAAAAGAATCTATCAAAAATCTATTTATTAATATTTCATCTTTCAATATTTACTGATGTGGAATTACCATCAATAAGAATAACTCCATCATCGTCATTCATCATCAAAGCCGTATGATTACTTTCATTTGAATTATTTTCTTTATAAACACGAAAACCAATATGTCGTTCACCAGATAATGTTGGATTCATATTAATTATTGTTGCGGGAATTGTATTTAAAACAGGTGGGATTGTTGATGATGATGTTTGAGGTGAAACTAATTTATTTTTAATTAATTAATTAAATTAAAAAAAAAATACATACGTGCTGGATGTTCATTTGATATTGAAGCTGAACTTCGATTTGATATTTGTGAAATAACACTTCTCATACGCACACGATCTGATGAACATTTTTCTGTTAATGTTGATGATGTTTCAACAAGAGTTGATGATGCACTTGTTGCTTGATTATTCATCCGTTGTTGTTGCTGCTCTTGTTGCCGAAGATTAACGCCTGTTGTTGGTAATGATGGAAGTTTAGACAATATTTAATATGTTTCACGTAAAAATAATGTCATTTCATGAAGAAATAAACGAGCAATAAGGCATAATGAATATGGACAATCATGATCTGAGCGATTAACAATTGCTAAAACAAAAGAAAATAATACATATTTATTATTTCAAAATTAATTTATTTTTAAACACAAATATACATATAGACATAAAGCTGACAAATACGATAACATACAAGATTAAACTCCATGCATATCTGCCTTCATTATAATAATCTTCATATGTTTCATCACTATACCATAAATTCATTTCTCCACCTAATTCTGTTTCATTATTATCTGTTACTTGTTGTTGTTATTCATTGCCTAATATAGTTTCAAATTGTGATGAATGAGCCTTTTTATTTTGATTTTACTTTTTTATTGCAAAAAAAAAAGATTTCTTTATATAAACTTACTTCACCCCATATACAAAACATTTTCGCTGCAGCTGCTTGATATAATTCATTTATTCTTGAATTCATAGTACCAGTTGCACATGCAGTAAATATTTCTTGTAGATGAGATTTTGTCATATTAATTCCCATCGATTGAGGCCATTGATCTAATGAACAATGACGAACAAAATGAACACATTCAAAAAGATATGTGCCTTTTGATATAACTGATGAATCTTAAAAAATTTCGATTTTGTAATTTTAAATAATGATGATTGTGAAAAAGATGATAAAAGAATATTATATTCTGACATTCCAAAATTATTGACTCCTTGATCACTGGATGAGTGTTGATGAATATTTTCAATCATATAGATATTGTTCAACATTAAATTGATCATAACATTGTCAAAAAACAAAAATATCTCGAAAAGTTAAAATGTTTTGGTTGTTGGGAATTAGATAAACTAAAAAAAACAACAAATATATTATAGAAAAATAAAATGTTTTAATAATAAAAATTCAAATTACGATTTGATTTCATTAATTGAACGATTTATTGATGATGGCTTTGGTGGAAGTCTTGATACATTATCACATATTTGACCAAGCATACTAAGATTATCCAATTGAACAAGTAATTCGCCTGCACTATCAGTCCATTTATCAACTGATGATGAAATATCAGTTAAGGTTGGACTTTGATTACCAGGAAATAAACTTGTCAATATATCTCGATCAAATAATGAATTAGGTGATACTTTAATATTATTATTATTATTTTAATGATGACCACTACCATATGAATCAGATTCATTCATTAGCAAAGAATCCATCTTCAGCAAAAAAATATATTTTTCATTATTTCTTATCTTCTAAAAGTAAGATAATATTATGCTTGAATAATTTTTTTCACAATACATCGTGAGAGTGTGTACATTAAAAGAAAAAAAAAATAAATAAATTAACCTTTAAAATTTCATAATTCTTGAAAAAAATCACATACAGCAGCAGCAATAGAATAAAATATTGAATTAATTGATGAATTAACCATTTTTGATGTCGTTGTTCTAATTCTTGTTAATGAATCAATGTTAATTCTTATTCACTTAGTAATAATTCAATTTTTAATCGATCAAGTACAACGATTTTTGTAATTTAGTGATTAGTATTAGAATGTGCTTGCTGTCGCCAAAGCATCGATACAATAAAATTGAGTTTATTGATATTAACATTTATTTCAGCAATATCAACACGAAATTTCTCTAAAGCTTCTGTCAATTTCATATTATTTGATAAATAGGTTTTCTGTTTATTAGACGATTGTGGATTTTCAGTAGCAATTATTTTAAAAAAAAACATGTTTTAAATTTATTCTTGCTTGTTCAATTGATTCTCAAACTTGTTTTTTCAAGTAAAACCCATTCAGGCATATAACCTAAGATATTAATAAAAAGAAAAAAAATAATATTTGAACTTCGTCTAATTTGATTTTACCATTATCAATAAGCATTTCATTGATTTTATATGTTGTAAAATCCACATAATGTGGATTATGTTCATATAAGGATTTTCCACTTGGTCTAATATTATTAAAATCTCCACGTGACATTGATTCTTGAATAAGATTTTCAACAAGATGATGAATAAAAGTTTCTATAGGAAAAATAAATATTTATTTTCTTAATAAAATTTCGATTGAAAATTCTAATTTACGTTGCTCTAACATATTTTCTTTTATTTCTGTCAATTAATTCTTCTCTTGTTTCAATTACTTTTCGATCTCGTCGATATTCATAGACACGTTCATATGCTTTTTCAGCACGCATTTTCTAATATGCAGCTTGTCTTTGACTTGGCGTCCCCATGCTAAAGAAAAAACAAAACGAATATTACATACGAAACAAAATCAATAATAAAAAGCTACAAGCAACTGATCCGAAACCTCCATATTCTAAATGTGTTTGATATTGAGAAGCTGCATGACGAATATCAAATTTGATATAAATATCATCCATAGAGAATGTTGATGAATAACCAAGAGAATCATTTGATTTTAGCGCTTCCTTATAACACAAAAATGTTATTTATTTTTGTCTGAAAAAAAAAATTTTATTTACTAGAAGTGTTTCATAAGTTTGTTGTACTTGATTAAATTTTACATGATCAGCTTTATTATCTTGAAATGATGAATTAGGATGATATTGCTTGACTTTTTCTAAATATGCTTTTCGAATTATTGCTTCATCACGACATAATAGATCGACTTCCAAAATTCTTTGAAATAAATTAAATCAAATTCTATTGAAAAATTTGTTCAAATATTTACGAATGACATTGTCGAATAAAACGATCTGCGGATGCTCGAGATATATTTGTAATATACCGTTTTGTAATTCCTAAATGTAAGAGGCAAAGTCTACAAAAGCCGATTGTCATATACAAAAAAAAAATAAAATTCATTCAATTCTAAAAAACCAATATTTAGAGAAATACTAATCAAATAAATATATATGAAACTCTATTTTCATTTTGTTAATCAATGAGATGAAAGAATGAACAATACATAAAAATTGCGCTGGTTAAAAAACAAAAAAAATACTTTCGACTAGATCTTTTGTTATTAATCATCGTTATTATCATCATTATCACTGTATACAAATAAATTCATTTTTTTTAGACCTAATGCTTCATATATGCTTACAAGTGAACCAATATAAAGAAATGGAATAGCATTAAGTAGAACTTTGGTTATACCCAAGAGATATCGTTTTGGCATCTAAATAGAAAAAGCCAAAACTATGAAAGAAATAATGATTTTGTTTTATTTTACTGATTGAGTAGCATCGGGTTCTGTATGAACATCTTTTAACATATATAGTTCCAGTCGAACATCATCCTGTTGAGTTTTTCTATGACGATCTTCAATAAAACGAATAAGAAATGATCGAGCAGTTGTTCTTGCCGTAAGTGCTTGTTGAGTTGCAGCAACATGTCGACGAATAATAGGAAAAACTATAGTATTACATCAGTTTTTTTTACTTGCCATAGTGGTATCATTAGTATGAACGCTGAGCTCGATGACTCATGGAATCAATAACACAAAATGCACTTTGTGGAGGCGCCACATGTCTTGCCTCTTTTTCGACGCTTCTAATGGTCCATATTTTCATTCATTCAGTGAACTAGAGATTTTAGTCACATTAAATTTGCTAGCCCAAGTCGGGTTTACGAGATAACCATTGGAGGGTGGCGATCAGTGAACGTTAATGACGGCATTAAACGAATAGAAATTTAAGAATGAAAATGGCATTGTCTTTTCTTCCTGTATAGAAGAGAGAAGTATGGATGGATGAGAGTGAGAGTCAGCGGCGGATCCAAAATTTTTGAATATACTAGCGCTCAGTTTCAGAGCATGGGACCGAGATAAACTTATGGAAGGTGATATTCGTCCCAAATGATGAATTTTTATCATAAATTTTTTGCGATCGGAGTTTGAGAAAATTTTTTTTTGTCGTCCTTCCCTCCATTTACTTAGAGCATACCAAGCGTAGTGGCATCATTATCTTATTTCCTTAATAGAGAGCTTGAATAAATTTTCTTTTTTTTATTTGGTGATAAAGAAAACGATGATCTGTTTTTCTGTACTATTTGATCGCTCTTCAGCTGATAACCCTTTACCCCCTAAAACCGATCCGGTAAAGTTAGTACCGATTCAAGTATAGGAATAGTGCAAATACGGGCCCAATATGCCAAGGATGTAGCCAAATTCCAGTGAAGCTCTTTCCCTGCGATAGTTAAAAATGGGTCGTTTTCGACCCATTCGGGTTGAGTGACATGAAAATTGAATTTTTTTCAACATGCTATTTTTACGATTTTGTTGGATTGTTATGCTGAATTCCTATGACCTGACGTGTTTCTTTTCGTAAAAATAATTTTTTCTGCAAAATCAAATTTTTCAAAAATGATATTAGATACGTTTAATTTTTTTTAAACGAAATTTTACAATGAACAACACAAAATAGGCCTTAATGTGTAGTGATAGAACGGTAAGAAATAGACAATGGTTACAGGGATGAACATTGACATATGATAACACAGTACCACCGTCAATGAAAGAAAAGAAACGATTTCATTCTCATGATTTAATCGAAAAAGAATGTAATATAGTGACCTACTGACTAGATAGTTGATGTATCTATGTCTCAATCCAAAAAAAAAGACAAATTCTCCCGTCATTTGACTATTTTTGACCCTACAAAAGTTTTTAATAAGATAATATCCTAATTATGCAATCATATTAATGAGAGGAAATCATTTCAGAAAAATAAAAATTTTATGTCACTCAACCCAAATGGGTCGAAAACGACCCAAATTGACTTGAAGGATGGTGCTCGTTCTCGAATAATTAGCAAATCCATTTGATCTTTCTTTCAAAGAGGTTAGTGTAGTAGCAGTACACATCAACAATTAGCATGTCTGAGTACTCAATCTACGTAAATAAGAAAAAGCAATAAACTCAGAAAACGAATTTTTCCACATTTTCGAAAATTCACAATTTTTTGACTCAAATAAGTCGGGTAAAGAATGATTGAGGAGAAATTCTTTTTTTATGCATTTATAGCTCATTCAATTCTCTAGACAAATATTCCACAATCTTGTCAATCAGACGTTTTTTTACTAAATTATGTAAATCGTACGAATGGGTCGAAAACGACCCAGCCGGGAGTAAAGGGATATCATAATAATAAAATTTCGATAAGAATTGTTTTTGTGTAAAGCTTCACTAATACGTGAAACAAATTAAATGTCCATGCTTTGGATTTTTTACTTTTTAGCTTTCAATCACTTAATAGGTTGTATTAAAAAAATAAAATATACCATAAGATGCAGCGTGAGAAGCTCTACAATTTTTAAACAACAGTTTATTTTTTATGTGAACTACGAAAAAAAAGGGATTTTTCTTCGTCTAGAAAAAAATGGTTTTTTGAGCAGCGAAAATTGTTCTCAAAAAATTTTGGTTTTTTTGAAAACAAGAAGTACACAATTAATATAGGCTTTACTTTGTATATTGTAGAGCTTTTCATGCTGCACCCTGTGATGTTTTTTGTTTTTTTTTAATAAAACATATCAGGTGATGAAAAGATGAAATAAGAAAAAATGAATTCATTTTGTAGCAAAAACATATCGTTTTCATACGGTTAAAAATTGGTCGCTCAAAATTTTGTTTATTTTGAAAACAAAAAGTGCAACTATAAAATAAGTGGCCTTATGCAAGTTGTAGAGCTTTTCACGCTGCATCTTATGGTGTATTTTATTTTTTTAATACAACCTATTAAGTGATTGAAAACTAAAATGTAAAAAATGCAAAGTGTGGACATTTAATTTGTTTCACGTATTAGTGAAGTTTTACACAAAAACAATTCTTATCGAAATTTTATTATTATGATATCAGCTGAATAGTGATCAAATAGTACAGAGAAATAGAGCATCATTTTCTCTACCACTAAATAAGAAAAGAAAATTTATTCAAGCTCTCTATTAAGGAAATAAGATAATGATGCCACTACATTTGGTATGCTCTAATTATTTTTGCTATAAGTTGTAATTCGTTTTTTAAAATTTATAATCTACATCGAATTCTATCGACAGATTTCAAACTTCCTCTAAAAATATGCATCCATGCAGGAGTTATAACGTTTTGAAATTTTGGGACATGTCTCAAAAATTGGAACAAAAAATCAAAACCTAGTAGCTTCTGAATTGATGCAAATTTTTAGATGAAGTTTGAAATCTGTCGATGAAATTTCATCTAGATTATGAGTGAATATTAAAAACCGAAGTACGACTCATAGCAAAAAAAATGGAGGGAAGAGTGAAAAGGGTGTAGGTTTGTGGGTGCGGGTGTGTGTGTGGTGGGTGTGGGTGAGGGTGTGGGTGTATGGGGCGGGTGTGGGGTGTGGGTGCGTGAGGTGGGTGTGGGTGTTGTGGTGAGTTTAACTCAGAAGGTGATCTACACCTTCCCACACCCGACACCCACATCCTATGTTGGTGATATTGTATTCGATTTATTAATTAAAATAATATGTTGAAGATAAGAGATTTCAATATAGTGTCTATAAATTAATATAATCTTTGTTAGTTTGACTGATATTATCAATTGAATTAAAAAAACACGAAGATTATTGGTTATTTTCTTGTCTGTATGTTTTTTTTCTCGTAGATGATGACCTTTCAATGAACTAAGTCAAACCAAAATATTTGTTCATTGTGTCGATTAAATCAATTTGGGAAAAAACACGAACGAAAGAGAAAAAACACTCTAAATGTAGACGAACATAAATATGATTGAATTCTCGTTAGAATAATCTGTCAACGAACGAACATTGACATTTATCATATAGAAATAAAACCTTTAGGAACAAATAAAAACATTTTGAAATTTTGTTTTTCAATAAATTTTCATTTATTTGATTTCTTAATGTAAGTTTTTTTAAAATTTAAATCAATGTCAATTATTTTGTTTTTTATTATTATTTTAGAATAAGAAAAAAAGTAAAATGTCAAATAAAGATGATGAATCAGTTGAAATGTTATATTCAAAATTATGTCTTGATTTAAATATGGATATGGAAACAAAGTTAGATGCATGGCGTTCATATGAACATATTCGTAAACATTATGTTTTAGAAGATGATCAGTTACATTGGTTAGCTGTTTCATTATATGTATCATGTAGAAGATATAAACATCTAACAATAAACGGTAATAATCCAATATCAATATCACGTTTATTAAAAAGTGCTAATCATTTAGAATTAATTGTTTTTTTTTGATAAATTACATAAATGGGAAGATATGGCCAATTTACCTGATTCAATTCGATCAAAAATTGATCAAGTTGAACATGCTTTTAATATATCATCAACTATATTTGAAAAATATACGAAAATATTTATTGAAATATTTGGTGGAAATCAATATAAATTAATTTATTCCGATTATCAATATAAAAGAACATCAAATCAAATAAATCCTAAATTAAATACAAAAAATAAATTACATAAATGTTCACATCAGGATTTATATTCACTTATATGGACAATATACGCATTAGCTAAAACAATTTATCCATCAACTATAAATGATCTTATTGCTTCATTTCATTTACTTCTTCTTTTTCTTTTATTTATGATTATGTCAAATTAGCCAAATTAGATTATTTACTTAAAGGTAACGCTCGATTAGAAGATTTTATTTATATATATCATTTTAATCGACTTAATTATTAACATTTCATTTTTGTTTTTTCAATTAAAAAATTTCTTTTTCACTTCTTATCAAAATGAGGATTTCTTAAGAGATTTTTTTTGTTTATTTTATTTAAACTTTAAAAGTTTTATTTATCTATATAAAAGATAATTTACTTTTAAAAACTCGTTGGAATTCTTTAAAATAAAAATCTATTTAATAATATGGATTTTTATTTAAAAATCTTTGAGATCAGATCTGAAATAAATTCAATTTTCGATTGTTCAATATAGAATTAAATTAAATATTTTATTTCGAGATTTATCAATATATTATTAAATAAAAATCATTGCAAATATTTTTTTTTTATCGAATATATATATCGATAACTTAGAAATAAAACCTATTTTCTTGTCAATATGATTATTAATCGATGAAAACGTAAATAATCGTTAATCTTTTTCGATTATTTCAAATCATATTTGACAATTTAATCGTTTAAACGATATTATACTCATAACTATGAACAATCGATTAATAATCATTTATAAATAATATAATTATAATTAAGATTTACAAATAATGATTGTATTCATATATAAATATATATTCTCGACATACGATAGAAATATAAATATCTATTAAATCTTCTCGGAATTTTCATCAATTATATTGATTGTTTAATAGATGAGCAATTTAAATATTTATTTTATTTCATTAAAAATATATATCTATGATAAACGATTTATTTTAATTTATTCAATAAAATGAAACAAGGATATATTCATATTAGACTTTATATTTCATCATATTAAACGAGTTATTCAATCTGTTCTACTTGTTTTTTCTTAATTAAACTATAGAAAATGTTTCGTTGAACCGATGATAGATTAATTGTAGAGTTTCATAAGTCGAATATCTATTGTTCGAGTTGTTTATTATGTTAGAAATCGATATTTGTTGTCAACAAAAACAAACTGATTTGAATTATTTATTCGAAACGAATAAATATATAATAATCGAAATAATTTTATTAAACTAAACCTAATAAATTGAATAAAAACATTAAAAAAAAAAGAAAAGTGTTGTTTTTTTTTTGCTTAAGGTTGTTTAAATGATTTATGTTCAAATGATGGAAGCATAATCGATAACTTATGTATAATGTATTGCTGTTCATCGGATACGTGTCGAGCAATAATCGAACAACATTTAAAAAATGATTTATTGAAACGTCTTGATAAAAAAGATTTTTTAAATGAATTTAATTATTTAGAAACAATTCGTGATATAAATCATCAATATGATGAAATTGTTTTAACAAATTCTATAATTGATAAAAGAATTTTTTTAGAAAAAAAATCTCAATTAAATGACTTATGTAATTCATTAAATGAAAATCTATATTCAAAATCTTCTGAAAATCGAACACCATTAACAGCAGATCAACATTTTACATCGAATGATGAACACAAAGAACTTCTTCTAATCAATATTTAACACCCATATCTCAAGCTAATCATTTAATTAAATTATTATATTCAATTGTTGAACAACAACAAACAAAACCAACAGATAATCTTATTTCAATTATAGGACAGCAAACTTTTTTAGGTTAAATTTTCTTTTTCTTTTTCCTTTTTTATCAAATCGAACATAAAACAAATTTGTTTTTCTTTCTCAAACCTTCATCATGTTCTTTCATCATAAGATTTTCTTAGTCGAACTTTTAACTTTATCTTTTGCGTTTTTCCCCGTTCATGCATTGAAAATAAAAAGCCTTTCGACAATTGAAACTAATTCGAAACCTATTTCAATTTGTCAATGTCACCTTTTTGATCAGTGTAGCAGCGACCAACTAGTAGTCAACTATGATTAGTTTACCTTCGGTAATACGTGGAGGAGACTAATGACAACACAAATAGTTCTTAGCTAAATGTTACATTAGAATCTATGATAAGAACTGTCAGACTTGTTTTACTCATTGATTTGCATAGGAAAGAGACGATTAACCTAATTAACAATCAGATTTGAACTATATTTCAATAATAATTGTGTTGAGAGTTGATCAATATAGAATTGATATTATAGAATGGAATTAAATGTAAATAAAATAAATAGTTTGCATTAAAATGACCAAGAGACTTAAAAGAAAAAAATTTTTATTAGAAATCGAGAGATAAATCCGATACATAATTTTCATGACGATCGAACAGACAATTATCATCACTATCTTTTTTTTTTTATTAACTTAAACAAATAAATATTTATTTATATTTACATCAGACATTCTATTTTTTTTTAAATATTCTTTTTATAAAAAAAAATAATTAAATTAAGCAAGGAATTTTTGTTTCTAATTAAAGATGTTTTCTCGTTAAATAAGAATATATTGAATTGAACATCTGTATTATATTGACATTTATTTAAAATGATCGTTGAATGATATATAAGATTTAAAATTTTAATTCTTTGTTCGTTGATTTTTTTTTCTCTCGAAAAACTTCATTTTATAAATCTTTCCTTGTTAAGAATAAACTCGTTTTAATAATAATCAGTTAGATAGATAAAAATGAATTTTATTTTAATTAAAATAAAGATAATAGAAATAATTAAATGGATTTTTTTATGAGAATAAAATGGAAATAATAAGAAATATGAAAATTAGAGTTATTTAGTTAATTAATTTAATATATTATTTGAAAAGCGTCAATTACATAAATAATGTTCGATTTGATAAAAAACAAAAAATAAAATAAAATTTGTTTTTTTAAAAATTTAGATGATCTTGTTGAACGTTTAAATACATATGAATATTTATTTAATAGTCAATATGATTTAGTAGAAAATGTTAATAAAATAAGTCGAGAAGAAAATCCATCTCGATCATGTAAATCACGTTTTGATTTATCACTAAAATTATTTTATTATTCCATTGAAAATATTTTAACTATTGAAAAAGGCAGATTAAATTTAAATAAATTTGATTCACAACAAATTCAACAATCATTTCAGTAAACGATTTTTTCGTTTGAATGAATAAATAACTAAATTGATTTATTTTAGTAAATTAATATTAAATAATGAATTTATGCGATCTCTTCTCGGTTTATGTTTATTATTAGTATTATATGCTCATTCGGATAAATATCATGATTTTAATTGGATATTACATGTTTATTCATTAGATGGGTATTCGTTTTTAAAAATCATACAAATTTTTTTACAAACTTGTAAACAAATACATGAATCAACACTATTTATTAAATATTTATCATCAATTGAAGAACATATTTTATCATCAATGGCTTTTTCAACAAAATCCTCATTATGGAATGATATTGAATTAAAAGGTATTTTATCATATAAAACAATATCATCAATTCAATCAAATATAAATAATTCATTATCATCAATAAATAATGTAACTCGAATGTTTAGTCAATCATCAAATAAAACGAATGTATCAAGAAAATTATTTCAATCGAATACAACAGATCAATTAACAGTAAGATTTATTATTTGATTTATTTAATACAATATTATACATATATATTTATCTTTTTTTACTAATTTCAAATAATCATAATAATGAATATAATTTATTTTTATTTAACAAAAAATTTTTTTCAAATTTTTATTAACGAAAATTTTTATTTTGAGAGAATATTGTTCATGAATATTTAAAAACATTGAAATATTTAGTCCGATCTGGTAACAAGAAAAATTGGCCCTTTAGAATATTTTATTTTTCTTTTATTTTTGTATATTTATCATGAAAAAATAATGAGAACTCATTTGATAAGATACATCAGCGATTTAAAAAGAATTTATTTCTTTTTCATAATCGAGCTTGACGAAAATAAACTCATCTGAAATTCTATTAAATATGATAATTGACGTCGACCTTTTCTAAAAACTTATCAAACTAGAAAGATAATTCGATAACCAATAACCATTTTATGCTCATAAGACGATAATTATCATCAAAATCAATCGACGAATAAAGACTTATGTTATTTCTATATTATCTAATCAACGAACCATTTTAAAGCCTGTCTACGGCGAACACTTGTTTTTCTTTCGATAGCACACTTTTTATAGAGGATATTTGAGAAAAATGACGATAATTCTCTATGGTGTCAATCTTTATTTTTGGACGTAGAACGCCTTGGAATTTAATTTAAGAGAAAAAAAGTTGATTGAATTTGATTAAAATCGATTTGTTGAAAAAGTTTTTGTTTGTTTTGAATGAAAATTTTCAGTAGATAAGATTATCTTTTGATATTGAATTCGTTTATTTGATTTTATCATTTTTTTTCTAGAGAAATAAATAAACAGTTTTAGTTATTCGACATATTCAATGAATCTTTTTTTTCTCAAAAATTTTCAAAATCGAATTAACAAAAAAAAACGAAGGAAAATATCTTGTCGAAGATTTTTATTTTTATTCAAACAAATATTAATTATTATAGAATAAACCAAACACATTTTATTTGTCTTAGTTAACTAATGAAAATAAATCTTTATTAATATAATATCAATTTAATTCTTGAAATATTTCGTTTAAAAAAAAACACATTTTTTTTCTAAAAAGTTGAATAAAATTTTAGAAAACAAATATTTTTTAATTTACCATTTGGATTAACTTTCATAGTGGAAATAAATCATAGAAATTAACCCATTACCCCCCAATAGGTCATATATGACCCATTTGTAGAACGATCACAGAAAACAGAAAGCATGAGACTGAAAAACTCCCAAGACATTATTTGTAGGGAATTTCACAAGCTATCGATTGGTAAAAAAAAATATTTTGTTTCATTCCTGTACCTTCGAGATATATGATTTACAAAATCGATAATTTTGAAAAAAAATGCAAAAATTCGAAATTTTTTTAAACAAAATGTTCCCTACTTGCAGTCGATAGAGATCTTTTGGAATTTCTGTGTGATATTAATCCATGAAGAATTCCACCGCTGAATTAGATATATTTCGAAAGCTTCATGATAACTCCGCGAATTACGCATACTAAAGAACACAATTGACCATGTAATCACTGTTAGACAGATGGAGGATAATCAAGAACAAAGTTAATATATACGTTATAGACCTCAACTCATGAGAAGTCGAAATAGTATTGATGATGAATTAAATTCCTTCAGACGTTACAAAATGGATCAGAGAAAAATAGGCTTAAATTTGACAATAGGTATAGAAAAACCATGCATTCTTTGATGTCAATTTTTATCGGTTTACTTGTTGCGTTGTTCCTATCACTTCAACAGTACGAGATAGATACTGCTTCTGTCCAATCAATAATATGATCAAAGAAAAAAAAATTAAGTCTTGTGATGTCGTTCAATTCCCATTTTTCATCATATGATTTTTACATCACTCAAACCGCCCAACTCCAGGAACAGAACATTCGGTGGATTAGGCCACACCATTGGTATATTCGACAGGCTAATATTCTATTTATAAAGTTATTTTATCAATGGCTCTTATGGAACAGCTATGGGGGATAAGGGGTTAATAGGATAAAAAGAACAAATGATATTTAATAAAAAGAAAAAAAAAGAATGAAAATATTGTTTGAAGAAGAAAAAACAGATAATGTTGTTGTTTAGAATAAATCGACAATAAATCGAAGTAAATCAGATGGAATTGTTGAAAATAATGATAAAAAACATGTTAAATTAAGTCCATATACAATGTTTTATTGTAAATTGTATAAATGTCTTATCTCGTCTTGATGCTATTTGTCATGATTTATATAAATCTCAATCAAATAAATTGGAAAAAATCGTTCGGAATTTATTTTTATATTTATTTGAAAATTATACTCATTTATTATTTCGTTCACGAGATTTAGATCAAATTATATTATCATCGATTTATTATGTTGCTAATTCAAATTTATTTCAATACAAGAGTTAACATGGTCTCGTTTAATTCAAGCATATAAATCAACGCCTAATTCGAAATTAGAAAACAGTTCGAAGTGTTTTTATTCGTTCAATTAACAAATATGATTTTATTGAAAATGAAGAAAATATTCGTAAGATTTATATTTAATTAAAGATACTTATTCTTGTTTTTTTTCTTCAAGATAAGAATCCATGTTTAACATCATCAAAACCTGCTGAAACAATTAATTTAATTGATGGAAATATAATTGGTGATATAAGTAGTTTTTATAAAGAAATATTTTTAAATATTCCTTTTCTTGAAAAAAATCTTGAAAATAATTTAAAAGAAAATCAATTAATTGATCTTCCTTATAGAAATAAAACATTTGAAAATATTAAATCAGGACATGTTAACGTAAATATATCTTCAAATACATTTATTAATTATTCGTCAAATAAAATTCAATCAAATATCTATTCATCATCATCAAATAATCAAACAAATTATTTAACAAGAGATATTCAAACAAATCCAACATCGAATGTTTTATCATCATTGATTCAAGCAGGTAACCTTTTGTTTTTTTGTTTTATTATTGACTAAATAATGTCATCAAGATTTGTTACATACTATATTCAATTAATATTAGATTTATATTAACTTAAATATAATTTATCTCTTCATATAAGAAATCTTTTTTGAATATTTCATATAAAAGATTTATTTCTTAAGAAAATAATATTGATTATTTATTGTCAGTTGTATGATTAAGTGTTTATTTAATATTATTTCCAATAAATATTGATCATGATAACTATATATTAATTATTATATTCAACAATAACAAATTATTTAATCAACAATTAATTAAAATATAGACGATATATCGATTGTTAACAAGATAATTCATTAAAAATCAAAAAGAAAAAAAAACTCAAGTCGAATTCTTTATTGAATTTTTCGATATAGACTTTTTCTATTTCGATTACTTTTTCTTTTTAATAAAATCTACATTGGAATTAAATCTTTGATTAGATTTGAAAAATTTTTATTAAAAAGCTCTAGTCAAATAAATACAATCTTAGTTGAATTAATCGAAATAGAAATTTATTTATAGACTCTTCTCTTTTTTATAATATAAAACAAATAAGAATATTTATTTGTCTACAATTAAATAAATACATAAGAACTATTTTTATATTTCGACCAATTTTATTTAACTTAATTGAATATATATTTTTTTTTTAAAGACAACATCATACTGACATAATAATATAAAATTTATTCATTTATTCAAACATTTTTTTTTCTCTCATATTATATAATTATATGAAATAAATAAATGTTTAGTAAAATAGTTGTTAGTTGACCTATGCAAATAAACAATTAATTAATATATTAAATAAATTAATAAAATAATAATATTATTTATAAAATTTGTTAAATCTAATTGAATTGAAATCATATGAATCATATTGAAATTTTTTTTCTTTTTTTTTTTAAATAAATTCTAGGTACAAATAATACAGTATGAACGACTCGAATTCGAACTGAAGATGGTAAATTTTTAACAACTATTTCAACAATATCAAAAATAAATAATTCAAATGAGAATCAAGATAATATTCTTATTAATAGAAATGAAAAAAATCTTTTTTTTGGTCAATCAACAAATAATTCTGTTAAACGAACACTTTCAGATGACTCGAATTCAAATTGTTTAACAAGTTTAACAAAAAAAGTTTTACAAATTGAAAAAGATCGACAAAAGATTGAAGAATATTAACTTTTTCTTTTTTTTTTTTGTTTTTCTTTGTTTAATTCATTTATATTATATCAATAAATATCATTTAAAACAATAAATAATTATTATTATTACAATTTAATTTACTTTAACATATTCATTCAACTATTTACATTAGTTTATCAGAAAATGGTGCGGGTTATGGTGGTTGGTATGCGTTTAGCGGTATTCACACCTACACCCAACTCATGTCGATAAAAATCTAATTGCTGCACTTGTCACCGACGTTAATGAATATGAAGATCTACATACATGTGGAAATGTGAACGTTCTTATATTTACACATATCTTAACAATGTTCTCCAACTTAAAATACTTCCATTTCGGTCTATTGTCCAGTTGGTGTCAACAATTATCATTTGACATTCCATCTGCAACTATATTCTCTTCAACTTTGTTAGAATAGCATGTATCTCTGGTATGTTTGACCGATTGTCTTTATTTACTTGATGGACGTTTCAGTCAACTTCATACACTTCATGTTAATATTTCAAGAATTATGTCGTCACATCTAATAATTAGCAATAAGGTGGATTATTTTCATTAAGATTTTATTTATTCAAATGAATTCAGTATATTGTTTTTCTAGGAAAAACTACCAAATTTAAGATGTTTCTCCCTGCATTGTAATTCTAGTACAAATTTATATAACGAATTAATTGTACCACTTCTGCAGCGAATATTGAATTTAGAAGAGCTGAATCTATATTTTTTAGTCTGTGATAAACAAACATTCGTTGATGGTAAGGATTTGAAGAAAAATATTATCAATTATATGTCTCAATTAAAGAAATTTTCGTTTAACATTCTTTCGACTATTTATCTTTATAATCAAATTAATTTCCAATCAAATGACGATATTCAAAATGCATTCAAAGATTTTAAAGATAATCAAATAATTTCTTGTGTTGATTATTTTCCAAAGATTAAAGACGTTGAACACCATATTTATTCATATCCATATTGACTGAAAGATTACGAGAGAATTCCAAATAATTTTCTCGATGGATTCTTTCAATATGTTCGTGAAATATCATTATTGGATGAACCTTCATTCAAACATGAATTTTTTCTTCGAATTGCTCAATCATTTCCAAATATGAAAATTTTAACTCTAATTAATGATTAGCCCCAAAAGAACAAACTATATAGTCAATCGAAGAACAATAATTATGATTCTTCAATTACTAGATATCTTCATCTCACGGAACTTGATCTAAGTGAACCTCACAATGATTATATCGAAGAATTTCTAATTGATTCGAAGACATGTTTACCGAATAATGGTGCACTTTCTGTCGATTATGAAGCACTGAAAAGGGTGACACAAGATTTTACAAGAACTACAACACAAGTCAATTGTACAAAACTAATTTCTTTAACTCTATAGGGTGTGGATGTGGTGTGGGTGTGGGTGTGGATGTGGGTGTGGACGTGGATGGGTGTGGGTGTTAGGGGTGAGAAAGTTATTGTTATTTTTTTTGTTATTATAACAATAACATTCACTTTTTGATTCAAAAACATTAATGAAACAAGTGTAAGCATAGTTTGTGCGTACGTCAAAAAATCACTTTATTCATACAGTATCTTTATTACCATTTGATATAAGAACCAGTCGTAAATACTTTGAGAAATCGTAAAATAACTTTTTTTGTTATTATTATACAATAATAACAATAATAACAATAATAATAATAACAATAACAATAACAATAACAAAAAAAATTATTTTAGGATTTCTCAAAATATTTACGACTGGTTCTTATATCAAATGGTAATAAAGATACTGTATGAATAAAGTGATTTTTTGACGCACGCGCAAACTATGCTTACACTTGTTTCATTAATGTTTTTGAGTCAAAAAGTGAATGTTATTGTTATAATAACAAAAAAAAATAACAATAACTTTCTCACACCCAGTGGGTGTGGTGTGGGGTGTGGGTGGGTGTGGGTGTGGACGTGGATGGGTGTGGGTGGGTGTGTGGGTGTGGTGTGGGGTGTGGGTGGGTGTGGGTGTGGGGGTGTGGGTGTGGGGGTGTGTGAGTGTGGGTGTGGGTGTGGGTGTAGGATAAAAGAAGAACTACACCCACACCCCACATCTACATCCACACCCACACTTACACCCACCCACACCTACACCCACACTCACGCCCACACCCATATCCTACCCACACCTACACCCAGAAGATTGATTTATATTCTAGATATACAAGTTGATCTGTGTTACAATTGATTTTAAAAATTCTTTAAAAAAATTAAATCAAATTTGAATAAAAAAAATTAAAAAAGAACTAATTATCCAACATCTCAATTGCATTTCGTCTCACCTCAACAATTTGAGCTAGTTCTCCGTCCATCTGTTTAATGATTTCGGAAATAGCACTTACAGTCGGATGATCATTTTTAATGCTTTGTATTAACGAGTAAACATCATAGATTGCAAAAGCTCCACTAAGTACTACTGTGCCCGTTCTAATAACGGCCATAGCTCCTTTTTTGCTCACATTAAAACCAAGCAAAGCGAGTGCTTTCATTAATCCTTCAGATTGCAATCTCATACCCTTCCAAAAATAACCTCCACTACGTAAACACATGTTAGAAGCCCCGCTTGCCACTTCTACACATCTGCTCAGCTGTATTATATCTCTAGTAGATGTTCTCACTCTATTTCCTTTTTTAATAGCGTTCCATAGTGATAATGCGTAAGCATTATCTTCTTCGACGTTTAATGCTTTAAGTTCGGTGGCCACACGTTCAACCTCATCAAAATGTTCTTTCAAGCGATTGGCCACTTCATTTCTTCGACCACAAATGCTCTCGATTTGACTGTTTTTTATTCTTTGGGTTACCATATCAGTTAAATCAGTTGTGATGTTTATGGCAGCTCCTGCTGTACATGCTAAAGCACCATAACCAGTTGCTGCTACAATTGAAGCACCACCTGCAAACATAGCAAAATTAGTAAATTTAATCATTCTACGTTTATTTTATAAACTTTATTACCTGTAAATGGAGCCAAAACAAGTGCACCACCTAGAACAGTTGCGCCGACTACTGTTGAAGTAGTACCCACTGTTTTAGCAGCATTGCATCTTGTATGATGGTCATTAATCCAATCTAATTCTTCATTTAATTTTTTAATGATTTCCTTTGTTATTTGTATAAATTCGTTTAACGTTGCCAAAAAACTATCATCAGCCATTTTGATTTGATAAAATTTTAATGATAGATTGGGTTTTATATCTAAAAATAATGATAATATATTCAATTGGTTATTTTGAATAAAAATTTGATCATGTGATTTCTTAGCTGCAATTTTAATCAAAATGTTAAAACCAAAATATTTTTTAACTATTAATACTACCGCTAACTTATATATTATCTTTGTTCAATTCATTGTTCAATTTTTAAAAAAATTACATTACACTATCAATTTTTTTCTTTTAATTTAGTAATTTTTCTTTTTAATTTAATTGGTAAACGATTAGATAAAATTTATATTTTCAAAAGACTCATAGCTTACTTATCTATCTTGAATAAATATTTTTATATTAATACATTTTTTTTATTTCGAAATAGACTATAATCAACAAGCAATGCTCATCAATGAATTCGCTCACCCTTTTCTGAAAGAATGTATTTGATAAAAACAGGTGTGGATGTGGATGCGGGTGGGTGTGGTTGTGGATGGAACGAGAGCAGACACTCACACTCACACTCACACCCTCACTTGGAAATGATATAACTATTTCATTTTTATAATATCAATTGACATTCATATAAATACTTCATCTTTACAATGTGATTTGGAATTAATATGGATATCTAACTTTCTTAATATCAATCGAAATTGTTATAAATATTTGGTTGCCATAATATCGATCAGAAGTAATATACAGGTTTGATTTTAATCCTATAAATTGCACTCAATGTAAGTATTTGATTTTTCTAACATCAACTGGAATTATTATAACTATAACATTTCTCAAATATCCATTGAAATTAATATAAATGCTTCATTTTTATAATATAAATTGGAATTAATATAAATATTTCATTTTATTGATATTAATTAAAATTAATATAGATACTTGACTTTGATAATATGAATTGAGATTTATACAGATATTCGTTTTTTATAGTATCCATTGGAATTAATACATATGTTTGATTTTGCAAATATCAGTTGAAATCCATAGAAGTAACGGGTGCGCCAGGTATAATGGCTGCGCTTTGTATTTCAGTTTTCATCCACTGAATATATTGTATTGAAAAAAACAAAGTACACCATAAGATGCAGCGCGAAAAGCTCTGCAATCTACAAAGTAAAGCTTATGTTAATTGTGCACTTTTTGTTTACAGAAAAATCAAAATTCTATGTCACCGATTTTGGACGCTGCGAAAAAATAACATGAACGAGGCATTTGTTTTTTCCTATTTCATCTTTTTATCCCCTAATATGTTTCCGTAAAAAAAATATATATACCACAAGATGCAGCGTGAAAAGCTCTACAATAGGGGTGGCACTTTAACTTTATTTTACTTTAATAAAGTAAAGTGAAGTAAAGCATTTCACTTTACTTCATTGAATAAAGTAAAGTTCAGTTACTTTACTTGACCGAGTACAGTGAAGTAGATCTAATTTATCCAAAAACTAAAGTAAAGGATTTCTTACTTTATGGAACGAGTAAAATATAATAAAATACGATAAACTAATGCATATAATTGATGGCTATTGACGTATTAGAATGTGATTCATGCCTGATAATAAACTAATAAATCAATAATCATCAGCTACATACTGTACTTTATCTTACTTTATTATCTCTTACTTGTTCCTTAACCCTTTCAGTCCCGACTTTTTTTTACCGAGTTTAAGTTTGAAAAATATAGCGCTAAGTGGCTAGATGGTATTACGAAACATCTGGTTAAGTTACAACAAAAAATTGTGTAATTATATGAGTACATATTTATTCAGTTTATTGTTTATATACATAGTTTTGATGATACAATGAAAAACAATTTTTTACACAGAGACAAACACCACAAAAAATACATATTACATTCGTTCTTTTTTCTTTTTCTTTTGTACTACAATAAGCACATCTACGATAAGTTGAAACAACATCTGGTAAATGAGCTAACAATTGTGCTTTTTCCGAATTTTTTGTATCACTAATGCTCTCCTCGATTCGAATCTTCTTCTGATTACTCATTGCCAAAGGTCTTCCTAGTCGTTTTCTAATACAATAGTTACCTATCAGTGCGGTACTAATACATGATATATATTCTACTGTACTAATATTACTGTTCGAAAGATCTTTATAATAGATAAATGAATTCATAATTGATATTCCAAGAAAATGAAAAAATGTTCTCATCCAGTTTCTGTTTGACTTTCGATCAATTGTATAATACCTTATTTTTTGATCCGATAAATCGATCCCTCCCATGTACTTATTGTACTGAGCAATTGCTAATGGACAAGAAATTTGCTTTCTACTACCATCTTTATCTCGTTGAGTAACTTTATCTGATACCTCAGGATCAAAGTAGTTTGATGCGACTAGAACTTCTTTCTTGTCCATCCATTTTATTACAGAAACTCCATTAGCTGTTAGGTATCGATAATCGCCTCTCTCTAATTGTTCATCTTTCTTCAATTCAGTTGGAAAGTATTTTCTATAGATCGAATTGTACCGGTGGCTGAAATCTTTTTTCTTCTCAGCTTGTAGAGTAATGATAAGGAGGTGAAATAATTATCAAAAAATAGATGACGATTCTTCATACCTATTTCATCTACTAATGACATAACTATATGCTCTCCTAATGACGAAGATCGTTCTTTATTTTTTCCTGTATAAATTTCATCACGACTCAATGACTCGTAACACAAGTTTTAAAAAATCTAGATTGTTGAGGAAAACTTTGAAAAATCACATGAACACGCTTCGATACACTAATCGATAATCTCTATTCACAAGAATATCTATGCAATCCTTCACAAATGTATCTTAACTACGAATATTTGTTGAAAATATTCCTTCTAGATCTTAAAAACCTCAAATAATTTTGAAATTTTTTGAAAAATACAAAATTTTCGCTAGGTGGGAAATATATATCCCACCGGGACTGAAAGGGTTAAAGTGTATCTACCTTGTCGAAAAAGTAAAGTAAAATGAAGTGTGTGGGTATGGGTGTGTGTTTTCTTTACACCCACACCCACACCCTATTTTGAGCAACATATGTACTAGAGTTTTCACGAATGATGTATTCTTTATAATTTTTCTCAACTTCTACACGATTTTTACTATCATAGTGTTTCAAGAGTCATTGATTCTCACATAAGGCATATTTTTATCCTTTAAAACCTCTTAGAAAATAATCGCATCATTTCTTAACATAAATAATAAAGAAAACATAATTGATAAGAAGTCGTGAAAGAAGAAAATGCAATCGATTTCTCGAAAAATCATTTATTTATTGGATAGAAAATCTTGCTCGACTGTTTGATTTTTTCCGAAGAAAAAATGCCTGTAGGAAAAGTAAAGCACGGCATCTTCTTCGATTAAATATTTGAAGCAAACAAATCTTAATGTCCCTAACAGCAGACAACTGTGTCATAGGTGCTGAGGATGCTGATGAATTAAACTCTGATGCAGGTGGTACAATTTATTCCTTATCAATCAATGATGAAATCATGTGCTAGTCTGGTTATTGATTGATCGAAAATAGAAGAAAAAAGTTTTTATTACTCATCTATCAAAAGAGAAGTTTTTGTCGTTAATTGTTAAAGAGGAGCAGAAAAGAATGAAAATTATTCATCGATACTGCTTACCTTTAGAAGGTGCAGATTGAATTTGATAGCATGGGTTGATTTATGATTCTGATTACATATAAACCGAGATATAATCGCATTGTTTCTTTGTGGCTGTGTGGCAGAGTGAAAAAGTAGTGAATCATACTAGTTTTGGATTCATAGTCTGATGCATTCTAGGATGAAACATACTGATTATTCTATCTATAACTCTAATTGTCTTCATTGTCTCCACTGAATCAAAGAACGAACATGTGCAAATAGAATTAATACCTGTTGTTGGATAAAGGATGAATAACGATTGAATCGTAAAGATATCAGTTAAGCTAGGCCGATAACAGAAGTTTCGAAAACATTTGAATCAGTGCAAGTCGGGAAAAGAAAGAAAGGAGATTTCCATTACTCATTTTCATCGGCGGAGGGGGGGGGGGGAGGACATATCATTGCTTCATCTAGTTACGCAAGTACGACTCACGCAGCCACACTCAAAACTCATGTTGATCGTGTTCTATTATCACTAGAAGCAATATTAAATTCGTTTATCTTTTTTTAAGTTATACTTTCTAAAAAGCAGAAGAAATGTAGTTGTTTTGAAGGCAGTAAACGAGCGATAAGAGCAACGTCTAGTTGTTACATATTTGACAAAATCAAGAAAAATGGTAGAGAATGACAATAAATATCAATGATATTGTTGCATTTATCTTTTCTTTATTTCTCGTTGACAAACTTGTCATATAGTTTAAAACGAAATAGACTTTATTGTCGAATAAGAAAGAAAAAAACAAAATTTCAAATTCCTTATCGCAGACAAGTTGACAAGAAAAGAACAACATCAAATCTAAAAACAGAAGAAGCAATCTCTTTCTGAGCAGTAATTCATCGTTGTAGTGTATTCAATTATTGGTCAAACGTTTCAAAAAATCTGTCTCAATGAGTAAACAAAGAAGGCGACGCACAATCGAAGACTATATGGTTATGTGGGTTGATAGTAATATGGATCTTAATAACTCAGATTGTCGAAAGACACTCGAGCAGTTGCGGAGTATAATCAACAATGTAGAAATTTACACAACAGCAGTAGGATGCATTGAAAGTCTCCAAGAATATAATGAAGCAATAGCATTCGTCATTGTATCTGGAGAACTTGGACAAGAACTTGTACCGAAAATTCATGGCATGGCAAAATTGGATTCCATATACATATTCTGCGACAATACACAATCTCATGAAGTATGGACACAAGATTGGGCTAAAATTAAAGGTTTACATACATCAATTAAGTCGATTTGTGAAGCATTGACAATTGCAGTCAAAGAATCGAACCAAAACAATTTCTCATTAAGTATTATTGGCACATACGAGGACAGTTCTACGAAAAATATCAATCAACTGGAACCCACTTTTATGTATACTCAAATTTTCAAGGAAGTTCTTCTTGATATGGAATATGACCAACAAGCTTTAAAAGATTTGGTCATTTTTTGCAGAACATTGTACCAGAACAATGTCGCGGAAATGAATTTTATAAATGATTTTGAGCGTAAATATCAATCATCAGAGGCCATTCGGTGGTATACATGTGAATGCTTCACGTACAAAATGCTCAATGGAGCATTAAGAACACTCGACGGTGATATAATCGTTAGAATGGGATTTTTTCTAAGTGACGTTCACAGACAAATCGAAGCTTTATACAAAAAACAAGTCAATAATTATCATGGACAAGTATTTTCAGTTTATCGTGGTCAGAGACTACCTAAAAATGACTTTGAGAAACTAACGAAAAACAAAGATGGACTTATATCTTTTAATAATTTTTTATCCACCAGTACCAACCGAGATGTTTCTCTTCGTTACGCCATCCAAGAGTGAAGAAAAAAGGATAAAATCGGTGTACTTTATCAAATGACTATAGATCCTAAAATATCATCGAGTCCCTTTGCCTCCGTCCGAGAGGTAAGTGATTTCGCGGAAGAAGACGAAATTCTCTTTTCCATGCATACAATTTTTCGAATTGGTGACATACAAGAACTTGATAACAATCGTCCACTTTATCAAGTAAATCTAAAGTTGACATCAGATGATGATAAACAGCTTCGTCAATTGACTAATCGTATAAGAAAGGAAACTTTAGGTCCGACAGGTTGGCAACGATTGGGTAAATTACTACTCAAAATAGGTCATTACGAAAAGGCTGAAGAATTGTATCTATCACTGCTTGAACAGGCAACCAAAGAAATCGATAAATCGACCTACTATCACGCTCTTGGATATACGAAAAGTCATCAAAGAAAATATAAAGAAGCACTTTCATTATACGAACAGTCCCTTGAAATTAAGCAACGTAGTCTTCCAGAAGATGATCTTTCGTTGGCTCGTACCTATAACAATATTGCATTAGTGTATCAAAACATGCGTGACTACTCAAAAGCACTTACATTTTACAGCAAAGCATTTATAATTAAAAAAAAACTCTACCTACAAAGCATCCTTCGTTAGCTACTACTTGCAGCAACATTGGTTCGATGTATAACAAAATTGGCGACTCTTCCAAAGCACTCGAATATTACGATACAGCACGTCGAATTTTGGAAAAGATTCTGCCCTGGAATCATTCGGACTTAGCTATTTCCTACAACAATATCGGTGCAGTCTACAGAAAAATGGAAAACTATCTCAAGACACTTGAATTTCTCGAAAAATCGCTTCATATCTTCGAAACAACTCTGCCTCCAAATCATCCCACTTTAGTAATTTCTTACAACAACATTGGTGAGTTGCATAGAAATATGGGTAACTACTCGAAAGCATTTGAATTCTTCAACAAAGCACTTCAAATAAGAGAAAAAACTTTACCTCCAACACATCCTAATTTGGCTATATCCTACTACAACATCGGTCAAGTGTATAATGATCTGGGTGAATACTCGAAATCGATTTTGTTTCTGGAAAAGTCACTTCATATTCGGCAAACGTCGCTTTCACCAACCAATCCTCGCATTAAAAATTTGATAAAAACTATTCAAATTGTAAGAAATAAGCTGTAAATTCTTCTTTCTTTTATGATTCAAATCAGATATTGAATACATAAATATTCGTCGTTCTTTTGAATATACGTAAAAATACTTTTTTTAATTTTATTTCGAAACAAAATTTTTAATACTACAATTTTCATAAAGAAAACTTCGTACTTCTATTTGTTTTTAACTATCGGACCAATCAATTGAATATCCAAATAATCGATATGATGTCTTTTAAATTAAAATATGATTTGTCATATATTCTACATATGTATGAGCTTAGAATGTGAAATAAATAACCTTGAATCAATGAGTATTCCATGGATATCAATCATCAAATCTGGACAATATTTGAAATTTATGTAATATCATCGGATGAATATTCTTCAATTTTCTCATAAGAACAACTATGATTGCACAGAGTAATTCTAACTTGTTGCCGTTTTTTTTTCTGCAGAATCAAGTTTAGACAATTTATACAATATGAGTCTTATGTTTAATATTTATGAATATCCCTATTTCTAATATAAAAAGTGTGAATATAATTTATACCAATATGGTTTATATGAAATAGGTGAAGTCTTTGGTGAATATGAGTAATTAGATCTTGTTTTGGTTTCTACCCACACTCTCGAATATATCCTTTTACGACAAAAGAATCTCAATGTTTGAATTTAAATCGGACCACTCTTAAATTAGTTTCTTCGATTTAAATATGAGGTTTTTCTGTTTTTTGAAAAAGGACATCTTTTTTTTTTCGATAGCAGTACGAAATATTCTGTTTTGGATTGTTTTGGGAGGGTGCGAGTGTGGATGGATGTGGATGGTGATGTTATTATTTTCTTAATCCACACTCACTCACACCCCACACCCCACACCCACACGATATTCTCAAGTCTTTCAATAGACTTGTAGACTTATGATCATACGATGGTGATAATGAGTCGGTGAATCAAGTAGTTCGTTATATTAAAGGGAAGATGTCGTATCCAAAATCAGAATTACCTGTACAATGGTGACAAAATCGTTGTATTATATATGAGAAATGAGTTTCTTGATTATTACGTCATATGTATCTTCTTCAATGTACAAGAAAAATTCACTAAATCATTATAAACCCAATTCTCCCTAGAGTATCATTATTGATCTGTTCTCTCTTGGTGGTACCTGCAAGTTCTGCTGCATCTGCAAGAATATTCAGTCAAACAGGCTGACTTCTTAAAGCCCAACATCAACAATTCTGACCAGAATAACTTTTATTCTCTTATACTTTACGAAATTTCTAAGTTTTAAAGTATACATACTTGGATGTAAATACGATCTCGTATTCGATTGTAACGGATATTTCTTTTAATTGAACTAAACTGATATATCTTTAAAAAATAAACTAATTTAATCTCTCGGGTTGGGTCGGACACAGGTGCAACTAGAGGACCTCGAGTCAGGTGCGGATTCCAAAAATCGAACCCACATAGTACTTTTGACCGATACAATTCCATATCTGATATCAATCATAATATATCACACAACTCAATATATTTATTAAAAAAAAAAGAATTGAAACAGCTGAAAATAATTGAAACTGTCTTTCTTGATAGAACATATTAAAAGTTTTTAGATTAGGCCTTCTACCATTGAGTTAGTTTTCACAATTATGCGTTATAATTTGTTCAGTGATTGCATCTAAACTAAATATTATTTTTTCATGTTGTATTTCACTTTGATTATTGATAATACATTTCACTGCTTGTTCACAGAGTAAAGTAAGTTCATTCCATGTCTTTATATCATCCAAAGACGATCTATTGAATTGATTTAATAAAATTTCCAAAGTCAAATTGAATTGTTCTAAATGTTGCAATAAATATTGTAATATATCATCTTTGTTGGTTGCTCTTAACTGATAAATATACTTGTTTTGTTCATATTGATACATATTATATTTATAAGAATAAGGATCATTTTCTGTTCGTAGTTGTTCTTGTTGTTGTAAATGAACACAAGGATATTTGAATTGAATCGATAATTTAAATAACTGACTTCCAGCATTTACTTCAATGATTTCACCATCATATCTATTTGTATCAATTTCCTTAATCGAATGCCAATAATGTTCACCATATGAACATTCTTCATTCATCTGTTCATATTCTTCGACTTTGCGATTTTGTTCATGTTCTATCACATATGGTGGATGTACAATATCGTTCACTTCTTCATCATCATCTTCATAAAATTCTGGTGATATTCGATAGCCATAGAGTGTAACGTAGACATGTGCTTGGTGAAGTGTTGAGGCACGTAGAAAATAATGTTTTACGATATAATCTAAACGATCTTCTGGATGTCTATTAGCATGTGCTAATTGGAACAACCGTTGATTTAATGTGGACATTCGTTTTTATTTTGTTGATATTATTGCAAGACGTTTATATATAAAATAGAAAGAACTAAAACTTGCAGTTTAGTTGTGCAATAACAAGAGATAAAAAAAACGTGAAATAGTATTGAAAAGGTGATATTCATCATAGAGAGAACTTTGCAAATTTTACATCTATATCTACCTAAATTTGCTTGAAATATTCTCTCTTTATCACCATTCTCAATCTGATGTGATTTTGAGAGTGTAGGGTGACGGAATGCGTGTGGGTGTAGTTGTAAAAAGAAAAGAAACACATCCACATTCACACCCTTACAAGCTCCAATAAAAAGGTTTTTCAAGTACGAATGAACTTTTAAGCCATATGCAAACTCCTACAATTTTTAGAGGTGTAAATATTAAAAAAGAGTTTTTTAGAAAAATACTACTAGATTTTAAAGTCTTTCTTGTGATACTGAGTAAAGTTACATAATTTCTTTAGAATTATTTGTACATTGGTCACATCTAATATATTTTGATTAAGATAAAAAGAAAGAATTATGCACAATAAATTTCAGTTCTCATTGGAACATTTAAATATTTCATAGAATATCTAAGGTAAAAAATCAAGTCGTTCGTTATTCTATAACTTTATGTAAGATTATACGAAGAATGAATCTATTAAAAAATGAATAGAATTTTTTACCATATTTTAAAACATATTTGGATAAAATAAATAGGCACTTAATTGAATGATAACTAAAAAGTAAACGAACAAAATATAAAATTGCATGATTATCAATTATCCGCAGAGTAATAATCTTCATATTGATCTCCATCTTTATAGAAATTAATAGAAGTTTATAAAAAAAAACTAGTAATCGAATATTTTATTCAAATAGAGAAATATCTAAGTAAAGTAAAATCAAAGCAATTATCTCAACAATTTTCTCTATGTATCTTTCATTCAATAATTCATTGATAGACATAATGAAATCAATTTATTACTCATTCAAATATTAATAAACAATGTCAAGAAATAAAAACAAAAAAACCCTATTTTCATCTCTTTCTACCTAACACTTATTTACATAAAATTATTATCATAATAACAATTTCAATTCTATTCAATATGATTTCATATTTTCATTTTATATTTAAAATGAAAATAAAATAAATAAAACAAAATCTCTCTTCATACAAAGAAAAATTTGTTTTCTCTGGTTGTCTTATTAGTAATAAAATAGATCTTCAGTTATATTGTTGCTATATGCCATAAATATTAAAACTAAATCAATTATTTATTATAGTTTCAAATTTTCATTTTGCATTTTTTTCTTCAATATCAATCTTAATACTCTTCTTCATTCCTAGCTCTTTCTTACAAT